TTGTTTTAAATGCTGCTGTGACCAAGTCTTGCTTCACACATTTTGATTTTGCAGATTTTGCTTACATGGAGCATGTTAACAGGCCTAAGCCACAACACATTCTCTCCCCTGTCCTAACAGACAAACTGAAGCTTAACTGGGAAAGTTGAGCTTCTGTTGCATTCGGTTTAAGATGTAAAATATGTGCAATAGAGGGCATATTGTTCTGTGAGCCAGCTGCCCCTAATAGTTCTGGCAAACTCCCTTTGTTTTTTTGGTGTGGTGTTCACAGACATTTAGCAGCTGTCTGTTTTTTCTGTCCTCTTCCTGACTGAAGACAATCTCCATTAAGTCCTGCGAGAGACCAATATTAGAACAACCGGAATAAAAAACGCAGCCAAAACAAAGCTCAGCAGTGTCCGTCTGTTCACCGCCAAGCTGTGATGACCAAACACTTCCTCGGTCTCCTGAATGAGACTTTGATTTACACAAACAGCTTACACGCGCCTCCTCTTCTTTTACCTCTTTACCACTTCATCCGGCCCTCCGGCTCTAATTACCAGGACACGAGGGACGACGTCCCCGACGCCGGACTGAGAGGAGGCGGAGAGGAGGGGAGTCACTGGGGAGGTGTGTTCGTTAATGAGATGGATCAGACTTGGCAGGCGGCAAAGTCTGGCAGCAAACTGTGGGCAGACAGAGACGGACACCCAAATCTGTGAGCTACACTCACCCTTAGCCAAACAGATCTGGAGAAACACCAAAGAGCTGGACTGTAGAGCCTGGGGATTATCTGCATTTTCATACCGTCAGTTTGATAAAACCTCAGCGAGGCATATGTGAAGACTGATTTCACAGCAGACTGTAGCTTCAATGACAAAAAAGGCTGAAATAATCTCACCGAATAATCAAGCACCAACCTGGAGCTTCTGTGATCTTTGTAACATCTGGCTACACCCCAGCAGTGATGTCAGAACAGGTGTTTTGGCTTAGACAGCTCATAGGAAACACCTGTTGGGATATCGCTGGATGAAAGTTCAACATGATTGATGGTTAAAAAATAGCAAAGAAACACCATTTATCTCCTGTGTAAACTACTTGTAGCTTAATCATTGAGTCTGGACGAACAGAGTGAAATAGACACTTTTCCCTACTAGTTTTTGAAAGCTGGTCCCTCCTCCCTTAAATTAATTTTCTTTGTGAGGATGAAGGTATGTACTGGAACATTTCAGCCTGTTATTCTTCCCGGAGCGTCGAATACCAACGCTTTGTTACATCCTTCAGTGTCTGGAAGCCTTTAGTGTCATAAAAGTAGGTCTAGTAATATAAAATAATAGTAGTACAAGGCTGTATAACGAAACAAAAGTTTGTAGACACACAGATAATTTAATGTGTATTGGTAACATATAAAGTAAATAAAATAAAATCAAACAATAGCCTACAGTAATTTATATACAAAGGCTATTAACATACATGTATACACCCAGAACATCCCATTTTTTTAAATTTGCGTCCTGAAGAATTTAAAGAGCAGCAAAAAGATGATAATCTGGTTTCATCATCACATTAAACAGTCTGACAAACAGAGTCCGTCTTGACTGTGTTTGAAAACCGAGCATCATCGATGAGTCCACCTCCTCTTATCTTGCCGGAGTCTTGCGCTGACAGCTCAGAACACGGACCACCCATCGAGTGCTTGATCCAGGATGTTGATGGAGCAGGTTTCTGTAAAGATGTGGGATCTGATTCTGTTGCTTGGCCAACATGTGTCCCATTTTGCATCTTGACCAAGCGTGACGATTTGGGATGAGAATGGGTTTTGTTACTAAAATGTGTCCATACTCTAAGTTTACCATGTTGGTACATACTGTACTCACGTCATCTGTCATGTGATGCTTTTTTCCTCGCTAAAGGTGGGTTTCTCTTCTCTGAATCAAGGGTCTAAGGATGGAGGGTGTATATAAGGAATGGACGTAGTCATTGTGACATCACCCGTTGGTTTGTGGACTGCCATTTTGAAGCCTGGAGTTTGGCCAATAGGGCGCCACCATGTCGAGTTTTTGCAACCAGAAAGTCCCCGGAAGTAACCATACGGCGGAGCTAACGGCCGCGTGCGGCGCTAGCTAGCTTGCTTAGCTGGGTGCATCTGTAACTCACGTTAACTGTCATCTTAAAACTAAACGTGCTCACCAGAGAAAGTGAACAGCCGACTCCTAATAAGCTTTTTCAGCGGCGCTGGTTAAATTTACACAGCGCCGAGGGTACAAGTCCCTCTAGCCTGATTGACAGGTCGCCATGGTAACAACTTGTCAATCAGAGATAACCCTGCCCTGAAACATACTCTGCTTTGTGGTCTATTTTAAAATAAATGGGACCATAATTTACTAAATGAACATCATGCTGTGTTGAAGAAGACTTGAAACTAGCGACTGAGACCATAAACTCATCAGGAAAGAGTTTACTGAGGGAATAAATCAGCTGACAAGTAGAAACATTTTCCCATTATTTCTAATGGAGCCGGACTTCTTTGTGCAACCAGAAGAGTCGCCCCCTGCTGGATTTTCAATAGAATGCAGGTTTCAGGGACTTACGCATTCGCTTCATATTGTAGACCAGAAGCTTCCCGTTTGGTCTGGCCTAAATTTTGCTCCAGTCCTTCTGGCAGGCGCCGAGATGTTTCACTGGACAATTCAAAACTTTGACCAGCTGGTGGCGCTGGGCTAGATGAAAGGTCAGATGTGAACCAAAGTCTGAAAGATTCGTGCTCTGAGGACTACAAATGTCTGTTCAAGGTTTTGTTTCAATGGAGCTCTCTTGGTGGCAGAGGGGTTTAAGGCACGGACCGCAACATCCCTTGCATGTCCTGCTATGCCTTCGTTTCCTGTTGTTGAGTTAAAGAACTTAGGGTCTCTAATAAAGCCATAAACAAACTTTACTTATCTAGCAACGCATCAAATATCTGTTGAGATGTTTCAGTCTCAAGTAAAGTAGCAGACAATGTGTAAGGCACGTATAACAATCATCCATCATATCCACACCTGCAAAACCACCTCCGTTGTACAGAAAGCACCAGGGTATGTACGTATGTCAGCCCAGCATAACAACAGGCCTCTCCAACATCACTGCCCTAAAATATGACAAAGTAGTAACAACTTAAAGAGTAAAATTTACAGTGTTAGCTTAAGATGATGAATCAACCTTTTGCAGATGTTAAGTTAAACGTTACAGAAACAAGATGTCACAAACTGGCTCAGCTGTTTGTCATGTTCACAGGGAGAGAAGATTCTGTTAAAGTTACAGCACGTGTTTGGGCTATTTTATGTTTTAAGTTACAGTTTTTGGACAATGCACATTTATTTTATTTCTATATTTAAACAGCATTACAGGCTTTCTTATTGTGCAGATAAACTTTTTTTCACAGTTCTTAGTCCATAATTTTTAGAACATTTTTAACAAATATGCTTTTAAAAAATTGATGGCAACAAAATCAGCCACTTCAGAAAGTGGTGGGTCCCCATTGTCCCCCAGCGTAAATGACACCTATGCCACCCAAGCTGGAGTCATCTCTTCCGAAACAGGCAGGCTGCTGCAGCGTGAGGAAGAAGAGCAGAGTGAGACTATTAGCTGGAGGATGAGTGGCAGCAGAACACAGAGGTGCAGGACAGACGCCCTCCGGCTGCCGCTCACCTCAAATGGATCAGCGGCTTTCACCCCTCCACACTCCATCCTCTGTTCTCCATTTCCTCATCTCCACCACCTCCACACACACCATGTTATTATCTGCCCCGTCTTCTGTCGGCCTCCTGTGTCAGAGCCCTTCAGGGGGTTCATCACTTCATCAGCCCACTCAGGACCGTACTGGATCGTCTGACAAAATCACATCATGGTTTCTGTCCAATGACACGCCTGAAACCGCTCCGGCCCAAAGCCATTAGCTGTACTCTTAACGGTTATTTTCACTCGGGTCCTCGAACACGGCTGCTGCCGCTGACAAAAATCATTTCATTCACGGGAGACTCTTTTAGATTTTCATGTACTCGTACAGCCATGTGTTTTAGATGTATTCCCAGTGTGCCTTGTATGAACCAGTTTAAAAATAAACTCTCCAGTGTCAGGTCCACTTTTCATACCCAGCTGCAGACACATATTTCAGAGACAGGGGAACAAAAAGCGTAATTACCATGTGTGTACAGGGCGCTAACAGACCTCTTTATTTATCATTACACAACACAAGGTTTGTAGTCATGCTACGGTAACCTGTAAAATAAATAAATAAAAGAAAACAATATATAGAGTTATTTATTTACATACACATATGAACACAGAACATTGTGGAGTGATTTACAAAATTTATGTCTGGGCTGAATGTCAACAGCAGCAGCAGGGTGATAATATGGTTTTAATGCATATTGACTGCAAATAATTTCCAATACACGTAAAAAGATCAAACATAATTTACAACTAATCATGCACAAATAATTAAATCACACAGTATTATTCCTTTATGTTTATTTTTACTTTTAAACAAGTGAAACTTTTTTTTGGAAATGTTTCCCCTGCATAAAAAAGTTTAGCCTATTTACTCCATATAGGTCCAAAAAACTATATGTTTTAAAAACATTAACTAAAAGCATTACATGTGAAGTTATTCAAGTGCAAATTATATCGTAATTTTAAATAAAATATACAAAATAAAGCAGAGGATACCTTTTAGCTCACTGGAGGGGACAAATCTATTTTCACTCACAGAACAAAATGTGCAAAAAATATACACATTAAAATCTGGATAAAAGTCTTTCTAACATCAACACATTTGTTGAAAATAAACATGTTTACTGGTGCTGTTTTCTGATAATAAAAGGTATTTATTGCTGAGCTTCTTTGTGCATCTCCTCTTCCCTCCACTGTTTATGACGCATTAAATATTTATATTCGTGTCACTCGCATAAAAACAAACAATAACATCGTTTTACATAGAAACACTTTATTGACTCATAACTGCAGTATGTTCCATCTAAATGAAGTTAAAATCAGGATCAAACGACGATTTTTTAAAAAAACAACAACAGTAATATTTTGCAAAGTGTGCCCGCGCAGAATTCTGGGTTACGGTACATGCGCAGTGATGCGTAGCAACGTGCGCACGCAGACGGATACGCTAGCTAGCGACGTGACCGCAACTGAGAAATTTTAAACACAAAAGCGGGTTTAAGAAGCGAAAATTGAAAGAAGCAGCCGAACAACAAACACATGAGCTTTCCGAAAATATTCACTTTCTTTAAAAACAAAGCAGCGAGCACGAAGAGCCGAAGGGAACACCTGCCGTTAGCATCCGCTGCTAGCACAGGTGAACTAACAGTTAGCGTCCGCCGCCAGCACAGGTGAACTAACAGTTAGCGTCCGCCGCCAGCACAGGTGAACTAACAGTTAGCGTCCGCCGCCAGCACAGGTGAACTAACAGTTAGCGTCCGCCAACACCTGGAGATCCAGTGGGACTCAGGAGTGAAGTCAACACAAGAACTCACCGAGATGTTGACTGTGGACAACGTCTACATCGCTGCAAGCTTTCCAGTGACTGTGGCTTCTGTGGCAGAACGACCTTTATCCGAACTACAACTCACCTGAGGAGCTCAGTGGGAACCGTTCACCTGGACCCGCCACACCCATAATGTAAGTACAAGCTGTTTAGTTATTGATTCGACTGATAATCAATCTACAAACTTGTGTTATTGGTTTTTAATGCCTATGCAGACATGAAACGTGGTAATAATGTTGTAATGTTAAAGTGTTGGTTACAGATCATCATCATCATCACGGTGCGCTGTTTTATTCTCTCCGACACTGATTAGGTTCAGGAGGCTTGTCTATCACTGTCTCAGCTGCTGGGTAGCTTTTAACATTTAGTCCTTAAAATTTACTAATCCCCATTTAAAAGCAACTAATATGTGTGTGAGCAAAATTTTCAACACGGTTAAATGCTGTAACAAATTGTGGGGACATCATACTGCGCGGGAGCAAAAGGCCGGTTGTCTTTATGAAGTCCAGGGAGCAGACAGATACCCCCCTACACCTGCCGAGGGGAGAGGCAGGTGTAGGGGGGTGAGAGTTTCTGAGGGTGCATCCATAACCATTGCATACCTTAAACTCAGATAGGCTCGCTCAGTCCCAAATGTATGTTTGTATTTCTGGTTTGTAATCTGGTTTCTTCCCAGATGAACATAGTGGCCAAATCTACACTGTAATGGGAATTTCAAACATATTGCATGTAACCCTGGACTCAGGGAGACTCATCTGTGATGTGGCACTGAATCTGTGTGAACGTAACAGTCAAAATATCTCTGTTCTCTGTGGTATCCAGACTTCAGGGACAATGTGTCTCTGTGGGATGACATGATTGACCCTAAAGCTGGATAAATAACAGGCTCACTGAGCTCTCCTCACTCATTCGAGCACACATGTACACGGCGTATGTGTGTTGCTGTGAGTCCTTCTGCAGAAGACTTGAATAAAATTCACAGAAAGAGAAGTGTTTGCCTGAGCTGTTTATTTAAACACGCAATTCCCACCACAATACCTAATTAAATTACTCACACACAAAATTAGCGGTGCGGTGGTTTGCGTGATCAAAGTGGCCCGGGATGGAGTGAAATTCCCGGCTGCCTGACTTCCTGTGCCAGTCCGCCCCTTGCTGAGGGAGTTTACACGGCTTAGATTTAGCAGAAACGCCATGAGCTGTATCTGCTGCACTAGATGTGGTACGCAACATGCTTAGGCAGGTGCTGCTGCACAGATTAAACACCTTAGTGAAGCACAGCAGCAGCTTAAAACACAAAATATGCAGAGACAGACACAAAAATGAACCGGTGTTCTGACGATTTATGGTTCCTTATTGAAAAATGCCACCTTGATGCAAATTACTAACGTCTAACACTAAACATTAGCCATGCAAAGAACTGCCAAGTATCACATCTGGGTAGGTAGCATATATCGAAGGAACACAGGCATCGCTACTTCCAGTATGAGCAATTGTTAAACACTAGGCTTGTTCCGACTGGCGATTGGATCGCCTATCGACGGTTGAAGGGATGATCAGCGATTGGTTTTTCGTGCATCGATATTAAGGCGATTTTAACCAACTCGCAATCAGAACTAAGATGATATAAAAACAGTCTCTAGCTCACGCTTTAAATCCACTGTGCTCAAGTCTTCTGTGTTGTCCTTTAATTTTTTTAAGTAGGGCTGGACCATATGGCCAAAAATATTATCATGAGAAAAAGTTTTGTATCTTTCGATAATTATCACAGTAAGTATCAAATCGTTATTTATTATCGAGTTTAAAGGCTGATTTTTGCTCCTGAGTGAAAGTTGAAGACACCTGATGGTTATTTGTGGTTTAAACTCTATAACACTTGATGCCAAAAAGTGGATCACTTCACAAATCTGAGGTAGAACATTGAAAACAATTATGTCAACAAATTTGCACGAGTAAATTAAATAAAAGCTTTTTTCAGTCCTTTTTCCTCAACAAAATAAACATCTTAATAATTTTTTTATCCTAATTCCTGCATGATTTAAGTGAATAAAATCAAATATTTATTGACTATTTATTGAACATTTGTTATATTGTTGTTGAACAAAATTATATTGAGATAATTATTATTGTTTTATTATCCAGCCCTATTTTTCAGCACGGTGAAAGCACAATGTACCGCGACTAAATTATCTACAGATTTTATAATCCTCTGCAGTTCAAAGCATCAACTCCATAATGTGGCACTTGTCAGATGAAGTTACATGTGTTGAATTGATGTGCACACCTTCCTGAATTGTTGCATCAAAACCTAGTTCTCTAGCTTCACGCTCAGTCACTTGAAAAATCTGACGTTGTGTGCGGCATCATTTCCACCTTGTTCCTACGTCTCCATTAACACCAGTGCACTCTGCATACTGAGAAATTAAAGTTTGAATGTTTTTTTGTAGGAAGATAATTTACTATTACTTCATAAACAAGCCTCCTCATTTCGGTGGGATATTGCGGCTCCTCCTTTTTTAATTTTGGGTCACGCTGCCGATCATTAACTGTACCCTGCAGCCGCACATCGTCATACTTGCAGATAGCATCATCTTTTTCTCTGAGCTGTTCCTGAAAATCAGCAACAGAAGCATCTTGTTTGTCATTTTGCCCAAATGGTCCTTCTCCTGGATTCATTAGTGTTTTAAATGATTCTGCATTTGTTTGTAATTTCCCCAGTTTTCCTTTTAACATCACAACTTAACTGTGGCTAGTCTGAAATATATGGACTGAATTTCAGCAAAGTCTGCTTTCGCTAATGATGCATCTGTTCGTTTCAGTGGTTGTAATTTTGCTCGTTTTCACTTTGTTCAGGTGATTTTGCTTCGTCTCAACTCTTTGTCTTGCAACAAAATCTAATGTCTTGGAGTCAACAAACCCTTTCGCTGTAGGACCAAATGGATGGTTGTGTGTCAGGGTGCCTTGGACCTTGGGGCTTTGGTGTTTCCATCGGTGATTCTGGGTTTTTACTTGACGTCGATGGAACAACTGATGTGTGTAATGGGTAATCCATATCAGAGGGTCCAACATCTCCAGTGGAAGGCTTGCAGCTAGATCATACATATCGAGACCATAGGGAGGCTGTCTGTTATCAGATTAAAGGGTATTAATGCTGGGCTGGGAACAACACCAGGCTTGCTGTTCAATGAGGGAACTCCATGGAAAGCGTAGTGCCTTCAAGGCATCTCTGTAAAATATTAAACAACGGCAATTATTTTTATTATTATGCATTGCTGATAACGCAGTCATATTCCAGCCTCCATCTGTGCACCTCCCCCCTCTCCTGGAGGTATGGACTCTTAAAGATTTCTCTGCTGCTGGAGATCCAGAGCGCACAGGGGAGCTCCGTGAGACCCGTGCCCACGGAGGAGAGCTTATTTTCGGCCTCAGTCGGTGCGCGTCGCCCCCCCTTCCTGAAGGTGTGGAGATTTCTCTGCGTGCCTGGCAGTCTGCTGGAGATCCAGAGTGCACAGGGGAACTTTAGGTCAAAAGAGTTTTATCATCTGTACCTGAGTAGTGGGTGAAATGTTCAACCCACTTGCCAAATTTTGTGTTGTGCCAAGTTTTAAGGTTTAAACAGTGCGTCAATATATATTTTTGCAAGTTAGACACTGTGCAGGAGTTTTCTTTGCTACTTTTGACTCACCTGTCCCCCTCCGACGCACCTGTCTCTCGTTAAGATATTTACAGCTCTAAACAAAATATAGGTGCTGGTCATATAATTAGAATATCATCAAAAAGCTGATTTATTTTAGTAGTGAAACTTGGATATTATATTCATTCATTACACACATTTTTTCATTTTTGTTGGTTGTTTTCAGTCCTTAAATTATTGTGAATCAAGAAAAATGCTCTACATGGTGGTCAGACTCTGAATTGTTAGATTTAGAGAGGGCAGAGGAGAGTAAAATGTAAGTGACATTACTGGTGAATACCGACACACTTCAAGCACAAATGGCTTTTATCTGGTGAGAAATAACAGGAAGTCATTAGCGCGAGCTTTGTAACAGAGCGTTCGGCGCGGTCAAACCAACGCAGCAGCTGGTGGATGAGAGGACAGGTGACTGCTGAAGTCAAAGACGTCGTATTTAAGTTTATGTTCTGCTTGCTCAGCAGTTGTTTGATAAATGGCTATTAAAACACATTCGGAGAGGATTTCAAAGGTTGTTTTTTTTTTTCAATTCTGATCATTTTGGCACTGAGGATTTTCCTGTGACGCTAAAACCTCTTTGTGAGGTGCCAAAAATTTCTCTGTGCAGGAAAAACCCTGCTGTAGAAGACGGTGAACTGCAGTGAGCCCAGAAATACAGAGGAGTCTGCAGAGTTTCTCCTGTTCTGACATTAATTTGACAGCTGCTGGATTTAAAATGAACGAGATATGTTGGTTGGATGACTAAACTGTGTAACGTGATATCATGTGCAGTGGACACGACGCAGCAGAGCAACGTGTAGCGTTTTTACAAGAGCAGCTAACCAGGGCTCTCAAGTTTTATCAAAAGTTTGGAGTGAGATAATGCGTGTTAAAGGAGGAACCACTCAAATAATTGCAGTAGTGGCCCCTCGGCCCCGGGCCAATTCACTCAGGTTTTTACTAGAAGTTAGATTTTACCTGTAGTTCATAACTGACCCCAAGAAACAAGTATGACAATAGGTAGATCTGATAAGAGTTTAAATATTAATAATATAAATTTATAAATATTCACCCGCAAACAACACATTTTAATTTCTGATCAGCTTAACGGCTCTGGCATTTAGTAGACTTTGGAGAAAGCTATGAACTCGGGACAACTTCGAGGACGTTACCTCTTAAATTCTCAGCGTGAGAAATACAAGGTGTGGCGTTTTACAAAGTTTGCAAGCTGTCAGAGAGACTAACCACAGCTAACAGTTAGCTCACCCTGCGTTCACTATGAGGTTATTTTCTTCAATCAAGTTTCCCTCAGCGCTCTGATAAAAACTAAAATAGAACCAGACTTCAGAATGACTGACAAATCTCATCGCAGCGCTGTCTTCCGCCGTGTTGTCATTGACCCAAACAAACCCACATTACGTATTCACGCCTGCTTCTGGTCGCTAACTTTGGTTGATGCTGGATCGT